ATGTTGCCGGACGGGCACACTGCGTCGCCGAGCGATCAGCGTCTGGTCGGACGAATCGTCGCAGCCTAGCCGCGAACGTTCTTCGCAGTTGAGTACAGTGCGCAGCCGCGGTCGCGTTGGCAACGGCTTTCGCCTGGCAGCAGGCGGCATTCCTGCAAAGGGAGGCAAGGAGCGCCGTACGCAGAGGGGCCGCACGTGACTGGTGGGGCGACGTTGGCGTCACGATTCGAAGTTGTGACGTGGCGGTGGGTGCTCGTGACCGATGTGACGCCACGTGACACGATGGTGTGAGCGGACATGGCGTGACGGCAACGCGTGAGCGAGCTGGTTTTGCTTTCCCCGGCGTCGGCTTTCGTTTATGACGATTCGTTGAACGATTTAATTTCAAGCAGTATTAAAGATGGAATAATTACGTGTTATAATTTACATAATATATATATTCATTATATAATATTATATATATAATTTCATTTGAATTTTATCGTATCAATACGTGAGTGCCACCTTAAGTTATGTAATATACAAGTCTGATGGTCAAGTCAGGATTCTGCCTCATTCATTCATAACAGATTATTAAGCTCGTGTATTTCACTGCTATACTATACATTTATAATATGATTATACATTTATTGATTTTTAGTAATTATTAAGAAATTTTTTTTAAATTATATGATTATACATTTATTGATTTTTATTAATTATTAATTAATTAATATTATTAATTATTATTTACATTATGATTTTATGCTGGATCATCTCTCAGCAAACTAGCGTGAATTTACCGCACACGTAAAGCACACCGAGATACGCAGTCCCAAACACCATCTATAAACAACATCAAGGAACGATCCCAACACGCGACCAACTTATAACAGCGAAGCACAGACAAACGGACACACACGCCTTCTCTCAACAACTGACAAGTGTACGACCGACCAGGCCCATTCACGAACAGAGAAGCACAGAGAACATTTGCTTGCGACAGTTCTACACGGCGGGGATAAGTAAATAAATTAACGACAAACGAGTCAGCGAAAATCGGGTGAGAAGTACAGGAAGAGTGATGAGGGCACAGTGATATGACAAACACGATAGATTTTACTCGGTGCCGACAACAACAGCCCGCGTTTACCTTTGCATTGATTAGGAAAACACAGCGAGCATGCTAAGTAGAATAAAATCATTCTTTTAGGAAGAGGCGTAACGTACGTTATCGGAAAGATATATGTGTGTACGAGAATCACTTCTACCTCAAAATTGCAAATACGAATGAAAAGCAGCATTAAATCAAGTGTGAAGCATCGAAACAAAGGTTCAACGGTTGTTTAGAGAGTTAAGCTGACTGAATAAAACATTACTCGTTACAGTAACTTAACATGACTCGCAATGCCACACAACATTTGATCTAATTCTATCATTCTCTATAGCTACTACATTCATACATTTACTAGCATCTGGGCCTGCGTCCACAGTGGGCAATGACAGTGAGGCCCACACATGTAACCCCCGAACACAGCATAAAAACTTTGCATTGCTGCTTCGTGTGCAACTACATCACTTCCTTAGCACCCCCTTACTAGTAAAACCAAACACCTACGCGCTGTCAGGTATTTATTTCTCTGCATGCGCCACGAAGAGGCAGCACACCCTCCCTGGAATCGACAGTCACTGTGGCGCCCCCTGCTCACCTGGTAAGCTCTGTCGACTTCCTGTTCGCCGATCCTCTTCATGACGTCACCGCTCGCGTCGCCCACCTTGCTGGCAGCGTTCAGCAGCGTCTGTCGAGGCTGCGGTAACCATGACGACAATCGTTATGACAACATGATTGGTTGAGTTTTTTGCGTTGATGCAACAATTGTTTTAGTAGGAAATCAGGGCATTTACAGAGAACATCTTTGATTTGCACCTAGACTTTATGACAATACGTATGTTAAGGCAAATGCTATAGCACAAGTGCACCCATTTTCCTATATTTCCTATTTTCTTGTATCTCCTGCCCCCCAAGTACACATGTGCACCCATTTTTCTAGGTATCTCCCGCCCCCCAAATACACATGTGGCCACCAACCATTTTTCTAGGTAACTCCCGTCCCCCAAATAGACATGTGGCCACCAACCATTTTTGGAGGTATCTCCTGCCCCCCAAATACACATGGTGCCACCACCCACTTTCCTATGTGTCTGGTCCCCCCCCCCCAACACACGATGCCACCACCCACCTCCTGAGTCTCAGGTTCAGTTGCCTGCATCAAGTCAATGAGTGCCTGGGCGAGTCGCCGTGACGACTCGAGCAGGTTCTCTCCATCTTCCTCAGCCTCCATGAGCGCGGCGAGCACGCGTACGTTCTTGGACATCTCATCGAAGTTCGAGGTTCTAGAAAAAACGAACAGCAGAACGGTCACGAACAACGGAACGGCCAAGCACGCGCACATGTTGGAGGTTCTAGAAGAATGAACAGCAGAATGGTCACGAACAAGGGAACGGCCAAGCACGTTCACACGCACTACGGAGAGACACTTACCACCTGACCACACATACACATGACGTACTCAAACGCACGCATGTACTCACACTTCTGCTCAAGGGACACACCCACATGTGGCCTTTACCAACAGACGACCGCTCCATACACGTGGCCGCTTTACAGCGATGACCATTCCATAGAGGTGACCATTCTATAGAAGTGACCACTCTATAGAGACGGCCGTTCTATACAGACAGCCATTCTACCCGAGGCGGCTGCTAGCTAACACGGAATCGAGCACGCACAGGGGGCGACGGTCGCTAACGTACATGGTTGTGACGGCGGCTAACTAACACAGGATCAAGCGCTCGCTCGCTAACGTACATGGTTGTGACGGCGGCTAACTAACACAGGATCAAGCGCTCGCTCGCTAACGTACATGGTTGTGACGGCGGCTAACTAACAAAGGATCAAGCGCTCGCTCGCTAACGTACATGGTTGTGACGGCGGCTAACTAACAAAGGATCAAGCGCTCGCTCGCTAACGTACATGGTTGTGACGGCGGCTAACTAACACAGGATCAAGCGCTCGCTCGCTAACGTACATGGTTGTGACGGCGGCTAACTAACACAGGATCAAGCGCTCGCTCGCTAACGTACATGGTTGTGACGGCGGAGCCGACCGACGTGTAGTCTGTGTCGTCCGGCTCGCTACCCGTCAGGTTGATCACCTGCGCCGTGCCCGTGTTGATCGCCGACAGCTCGGACACGACCGCCTGCCGCTTCACATCCATCGTGTTCTCCTTCCACTGCAGCGACGACTGCAAGCAGAGAGCGGTGGGGAAGAGTTAGCAGCCGCAGGGATCGGACGTTGGGGAGGGTGGGCAGCAGGAGAGATGACAAGCGAGAAAACTCAAAGTGACATTGAAATTCGGTCGGCAAGCAAAAACTAAATATCACAAATTAAACTGAGAAAAATAGTGGGAAATTTTTTTACAAATAAAAATGAAACCAAGATTGGTGCAAGTATTCGAAGATGTGCTTGATTTTGAAAAAAATTTGTTCAAAAATGCTGCTCGGACTAGAACAAAAATTAAAGCTGCTTCAGGTGTAAGTAAACATGAGACTAAAAGTGGAACCAAGTTATTCATAACAGAGAGTGAAACTGAATGGAAAAATACAACACATAAAGTCAATCCTAAAGTAAAATATTACGTTACGCGAAATTGAAAGCGATGAAGAACTTAACAGAAGAACTAGCAACGAAACTGATAACTAGCAATGTATTCTCGCACTGACAGCGTACAATACAATACTTTATTACTTATGTATCGTATTTTTTAGACTCAAAACGTCGTTGCAAAAGTTGACGCAAAAATACAAAGTAATGTCAAACTTGAAGCAAAAACATAAAATAAACTTATCATGAAATTATAAGCAATGAAAGCAATGAAACGGATATAACTAGAGAGGTAATGTCGCACTCACAGCGTCGTCTCCAAGCTGAGGTAGCTCCGCTCGTGACTTCAGGTCCACCTGTGCCCTCTGCATCGTCTCTGTGCCCTCGTGAATGTTGGTGATGAGCGCCCTCTGTGCTTGACTCTCGAGCTTTTGCGTGTGTGCTTGCCCGCCCTAGCAGCCGAGTAAGACGGAATGAAGCACGTATGTATGTCTAGCATGTATATGTATGTATGTATGTA